GTAGATTAACGCTGGACTTCAGTGAGACAAAATCTCAGCTAATCGTCTCTGATGCGATTGGCTGTTAGGAGGTCAAACGTGTCGCTCAGAGAGCTGCAGCTGAGTGCTGATCTCACTCTGCAGGAAGCACTCTGACTCCCAGCACGCACCGATGGACGGACTTCCATCCACCTGTCTGTCTGTAATTCCCTCTATCCCTCCTTTCATCCTTCTATCCTTCCTTCCCTCCTTCCATCCTTCCTCCCACCTGCCCTCTTCAAAAATCAGATGCAGATGTTTCTTTACTAGCTTCACTTCCTGTTATCCAGAGGTGTTCCCAGGTCAGACAGAACGTTAACGTTTCCATGAGTCTGTATGTTCTCAGTCGTCCAGGTCATGGTGATCTCAGGAGCTTGAAGTAACTCAAAGGAGCCCGCCCACTTTTCCACATCCTCAGACTGTGATCGTTCTGGATGGATCGGTGGGGTTTCTGTATGGACGACCACAAGAGCCACGCACATCGGAATAAAACATTCTGCTTAATTAATGAACTGTAGAATAAAATCTGTAAATTCATTTTTTAATTCAAATTTTATAAACTGCATTTCAAAATCCATTTCCTGTTCGCTCAGGGATTAACATGTCTGCCAGCCTGTGTCTGACCAACCAATCAGAGAGCTCCTTACATCCCACGGTGTGGCTAATTTGAATAGCAGCAGGATTTTTAAAGTTGTTAATCCAACTGCTAATCCAACTGCTAATCCACATGTTAATCCCTGAGCGAACAGGAAATGGATTTTGAAATGCAGTTTATAAAATTTGAATTCAAAAATGAATTTACAGATTTTATCCTACAGTTCATTAATTAAGCACATTAAGCTCTTGTGGTCCTCCGTATTTTTGGCTAAAACATTTCCAAAGAGAAGCATCCAGGAGCAACCCTGATCTGAAACACCTCCTTCATTCTGAGATCCCTCAAAGTGCAGGTTCCTCCCCTGATCTCTGAAGAGCCCCGACACCTTCAGCTGTTTCTGCCCCTTGGATGCCACAGCTCACAGTCACAATAGTAAACATGTACGTTTATACCCAAAGGGGAGCAACCAGCAGGTCTGAAGTAGTCAGAACATCTGCAACACTTGAAACCTTTGTGTTAGAGCATCTGTGAGCGACTGATGATGACCTGAACTCACTAAGATGATGAGCCGGCAGCCAAAACGCTGCTTCAGAGCTCAGCTAAAACAGCAACACCGCAGACACTTTAAATCTTTCCTGATGTCTCTGATGACAGCAGAGATCAGCTGATATCAACTCTGGCTGTGCTTCATGAACGTCACCTACTGCAGCACAGACAGCTTTGTGTTCACACGCTATTTTATTTCGATTTGATGGCCTGACCTCCATCGTGGCGAGCTCGCTGACCACCAAACCAAGCCTCACGAGCTGACTCACAGTGGCTCTCATGTCTTCCTCTGTTAGATCTGACTGGACCACTAATCAATGTCCCACTGTGGTTGTTGTTGTCATAGCAATGACTGTAAATGGCAAAAACACTGGTGTTTCAGCCATGCTTCCTTGGTGTGGTAGCCCCACGAGGAAGCCTGTTTGACTACAGAGACGTTTCACAGCAGCATCTAGTGGACATGAGAGGAACTGCAGCCTGTTGTCCCTCAGTGAACGTGTCGATGACACTTTTCACTCAGAGCTAGAAAAAGAGTCCCGGCACTCGTTCTTCAGACCGCTGCCCTCACCTCGGGTCAGGAGGCAGAGTGGGTCATCCACCAATCAGAAGGTCGGTGCTCGTCATCAGAGTGTGAGTGTGTGAACATGAGGTGAGCTTATTTACCTCGAGCTCCTGGAAGTCGTCATCGTCGTCGATGTCATAGGACAGCGTGTGAATCTTTGCCTCCTCACCAGAGAACTCCAGATACTTCCCGTCAGCAAACAGCAGCACCTCCTTCGTGGAGACGGCGGCGGCAGAAGAAGAGGAGGCTTCTGGTCCAAGTCCCTCGATGAAGGTGGTCTCACAGCAGTCGCCTCCCCCGGCCTCCCCCCAGGCCCGCAGGACACTCTCCGGGCACAGGAAGAGGCCGGGGGCCGGCCTGAGGCGAGGGTCTGGCACCCCATGCTGGGGCAGGAGAGCGCTGGGGTTCAGAAGCTGGGGAGGACCCCTGCTGTGCTCCTGCTGAGGGGAGGCGCTCACCACCACGTGACCCTGATACTGAGGAGCAGAGTACACTGACAGTAGCACCTCCCGAGGCTCCGCCCCCAGCCTGTGCGTGTTGATCAGGCCATTTTGTCTGCAGGCTTCTCCTCCTCCTCTCCGTGAGACGCTCCCAAGCCCGGAGGAGGTTTCAGGCTCTTCTCGGCTCTCCTTCTCTCCTCCACCTTCCATCTCTCCTCAGAACTCGTTTCCTCCTCAAGGGGTCTCTCAGAGAGGTCAGAGGTCAAGGGTCAGGCATTGCATACTGAACTTTGCTGGAAGATAGAAAAAGAGAAGATAGAATAGAATAGAATAGAATAGAATAGAATAGAATAGAATAGAATAGAATAGAATAGCCCTTTGATGTCATTGTGCTGGTGTTCCACACCAACTGTGGCAGCAGGAATAAATACAAAATGAGACACACGGCGCATGCTGGACAACAACGCAGGAAGTGCAACGAAAGGCGCTGGTCTGTGTGTGACGGTCGCTCAGAACACGGCTCAGATTGGTGTGGCGAGTGGGCGGGGTAACAGTCCGAATGGCCCAGGGGAGCCTGGAGGTGTGGGACCTGACCGACCCAAGGCGTGGTGCAGAGGGTGGGTCAAACAGGTAGTGGGCGGGGTCTGAGGGGATCTCTGTGAAAGCGTCCTGCTGTCCTCACAGCACGGACACATGCACCCGTGGTGTGTGTGTCAGAGGATTCGCCTGCTGAGCTGCATCCAATGAGATTGATAAACACCTGAGGTGCTTTATGTTTTGGCAGGAAACCATCAGCAGGAGGACAATCTGACATGCGGGGACATTTCTGCTGAGTTTGCTGCTTCATGTTTGGACCAGATGATGGTCTGTTTGGAGAACCTTGAACACCTGAAGCACCTGGTATATCAGAGCTCTAATAGAGGACCTTGTGCCTCGGCCCCCCCTCCCTACAGCCTTCAGATAGTGTGCTGCTTCCTTGGCTGTGGTGTTGGAGGTGTTCCTGACGGTTTTGGTGTATTTGTGACTCTGAGCTGCGGCTCACATCAAATAATCCACAGCACATTAATAATAAAGCTCATCTTCAAAGCTGCGCCCCCACCACCACCACCAACAGGCGCACGTGCATGGACCGCGCGCACACGCACGTGCACGGATGTTTACAGAAAAACCCTCATCGTAAACCCGAATACCGACACTCACCGGTCTGACGTCAGCACGGTGATAGCCACACGCGCGCACACACAAACACGCGCACATACTCACCTCCCAAGGTGAGACACGAGAGCCGTCCATCCGTTCATCGTCCATCCATCTGCGCATCCAGGCGTGACAGCGACCCCCGCGGCCGTCCCGCAGCCGCGTTGGGTGCGCTCTGAGCGGGCTGAGAGGCGGCGGGTTCCCGATGCGAAGCTCCGTATTTCCAAAAAAGCCGCAAGAGGAGAGAGGCGGGCGGGCGGGCGGCCGTCTGCTCCGAAAATGACTCTCCTGCAGAGAGGAGGTGGAGAGGAGGAGGAGGAGAGAAGAGGCATGTGCGCTGAATACAGAGGAGGTGTGTGTCAGCAGAGACGTCCTCCACAGGGTCCTAAAGCCCCTCAGATCAACATGACGAAACGTCCAGGTTTGGACTCCTGAAGTCAGACCTGCTGACCAATCGCAGGCTCCGCCTCTCCCGTGGGACATCTTTCTCAATAAAGAACATCTGAAGATATTTGCTCGGACTTGGAAATGCTTTTAGTTTGGAGTTGATCCTGATCTGCATCCACGGATTTCTGAAAAAATGCAGAAATTCAATTAATGTTGAATTTTTTGACATCTTCTGTTTTTAGCTGGGAGACATCGTCCTGATGTTCTAATATTACAAACCAAGTCTGTTTCACATCTCCTTCACACTCAGTTCATGCATGTTTCCACAGGGATTACACTCACAGGCACCAGTACCCAGGAGGCCAGGCAGCTCCTGGAGCAGGAGGAGGCTTCTGGACTGGAATGGGAACGTCCGGGGTGCTTGGATATCTTTTGGGTCGTCAGGGGAGCCAGCCCTACAATTCTATGGCTACGTTCACACTGCAGGTCTTAAAGCTCAAATCCGATTTTTTTGTCTACAAATAAAATGCGACAGCAAACACGCTCTAGTGTGAACCCTCAAAGCGCCCGCATGCGCAAACGAAGACGTCACACACGACGCACTATGTTTAGACCCAGACCAACAGTGTTGTTTGATTGTTTCAGACTTTACGTTTCCCAATTATTAGTTATAACATAACATCAGTTATTGTGTTATCTACAATTGGCCTAATAATGATCCTTGTTGCTGTTTTAGAGGAGCGGTGCTTTAAAGGATAGTTACAGATTTCTGTCAGAATCTGCAGATTATACAGTACAAATAAAATGTTCACGTTTCTCCAACGTTGTCTTCCCAACAGTTTCACTAACATCTACACGGGCCGGCCAGGAAGCGTTCACAATGTCTTCTCCGGCGCTGACAATTGGCGTCTGACTTGTGTCGGTGACGTAAAAGACGGATTTAATGCGACATGACCATCAAACAGCAGTTGCTTCCTAAAACATCAGATATGTATCGGATTCAGGACCACATACGAAAGTGACCCAGGTCGGATTTGTGCCATTCACACTGTCAGACCATGATCGGATATGAGTCGCAGAGGGTCAAAGAAGACGGATTTGATGCGCTTTCGCCTGCAGTGTGAACGTAGCTTTAGATGTCTCAACTCCACCTGCTGCTTTTCATGCAGAAACAATCTAGTAGAGACTAAACAAAATATAAACGAGGGAAGAGTCAAGAGAGAGAATGTCAGGGTGAGATATTCCATCAGGCGTCATGGAAACAGGACATTTTAAAACGAACCACCCTTTCTGTCATAAACACTTTTCAGACAGAGTACACGCACTAAAATTCATCAGGTCCCATTAAACCTGGTATGAGTGATGGTTTGATTTCATCAGTGTGTCACATCACTGTGGACGAGGAGCTTTTGTGCATCATGGACAAACATCTCCACTTTGTTCTGGTTTGTTCCAGTCCGGTGATTTCTGCAGTCAGGACTCTGCAGACCTGAGCAGAACTGCCGTGAGAGAGGAGGCATCAGGTCACCAATGCATC